CACGCACGCACGCACGCACGCACGCACGCACGCACGCACGCACGCACGCACGCACACACGCACACACGCACACACGCACACACGCACACGCACTCGCACTCGCACTCGCACTCGCACTCGCACACGCACACGCACACGCACACGCACACGCACACGCACACACGCACACACGCACTTACGCACGCACGCACACACACGCACACTCACTCACACACGTCCGAGCGATGCCAACCAAGCCTTGGGAGAGCCCCAAGGAGCTCCCAACGCTGGCAGAGACGGTCCCGTGAGAGCCCCGAGATGACCAGAAAGCTGCCCGAGAACCCCTCAATAGGAGCCCAAGGCCACCTACGTAGGAGGGCTCCAGTCCTGCCCTTGCTCCACCGAGCATCGTCGGGAACGCTCGGCAGAGCCACCCACAATGGCCTCGGGACCCCCAACGGGCCCGCAACCAGAAGCATGCCCGCAAGAGGCCCCCAAGGGGTCCCTTTTTGAAGGAGAGATTTGGAGGAAGGACGAGGCCGAGGACGACGAGGGGGCACTTGAGGCCCGTGCCAGTTCAGGCAGGGCACAGAGCAGGGGCGCGTCGCAAACTCAAACTCATTCTATCTGCGCTGCTGCGATGCCACGGTGGTGGGGCTTGCCGCAGGCAGCTGGTTGATCACTGGGCCTTATGACCGCAAGTAGGAAAAAAGGCGAGATTGGGTCTGCGCGCGCCTGGATCTTCTGCCGCCGATAAAAAAAGGCCATTCTGGGGGTGTGGCTCCCTCCGACCCCAAATGAGAAAGCTCACCTGGCAGCACCCCAGACCGTGCAAATCACGCTGCAGGGGGCCCTCAGGCCACCCCTAGTCACTTCCCTGCGCTGCCACAGGGCGGAGGTCTCCATCTGGAAGTCGATGCCGTCCGCCTGCTTCGCGCGGCCGATGCTGACAGTGGCCGTCCGGCGCGCGCGCCGCCTGTCCGTCAGAGGCATGAACCTCCTGGCCTGCTCGTCAGCGTACGCCTCGATTTCGGCCCATTCAGCGTCCTCCTCCTGCGCACAGGTGGGCCCATCGGCCTCGCCAGACATGACGGGCGCCATGATTGTGTCTGGAATGCCGGCGCCTGGCAGGACTGCCAGGGTCTCCAGCCAGGTTCTGGCCCCCGCCGCAGAGCCCACGCTCACGTCACCGTCGGACTCCTGTTCGCTTGGCAACACCTGTGAAGGATAATGCACGACGCGTATACTTGGCAACATGAGCGAGGAACAGACGCAGCAAGAGACAACCGTCTAAGAGTCCTCAATCGCGCCACAGCGAAATTCCTGGGACTTCAACGCCGAGAACCAACGAGACTGTTACGTCCTAACAGTCCTAAGCCGCGCCGAAACACATTCCAGGGCCCGCAATACTGCTAACCAGCGGGGCTGTAGTGTCCTGACAATCCTAGATCGTGCCAGAACATACTTCGTGGGACTTCAACCATACAAACCCTGGCGACGTGTGCAAACCTTGTAATCGAATGTGCGCAGCCTGAAGCGAGAGCCACCGTTCGACAAAGAGCCACCCTTCATCCTTGAAGCTGTGGCAAACTTTTCAGACGAGTGTGCGCGGCGCGTATGCGATGATTGCATGCTGAACACCACCCGCCCTCCAACCTGGAAAATGTTGCAAGTTTATTGGTTCAAGGTTATAAGAAGATTAGCCTCCGCCTCAAGCCGCCTCCGCCTCGAGCCCCGGGTGAGCAGCCAGCAGGGACCGAGCAGGACGACGACCTTATGGACGTCGGTCTGACCACGCTCGGCGAGGAGGACCTCCGCCGCACGCTTTCCGAGGCTGGTTTGCCCCAGCAGGCCGACGCCACCGCGGAGACCATGCGCTCGGTCCTCAAGCGCCTCCAAACGACCATCAGCACTGTCTCCAAAAACGCCCGCAAGCAATCCCGCTACCTCCTCCTCCTCCTCCTCCTCCTCCTCCTCCTCCTCCTCCTCGTCTGTCGGCCTGTGCTTTGCCGCGCGGTGCAAGCCCGCTCGGAGGAGGAATGTCGGGAGGTGATGCTGAGTCTCGAGCTTTCTCGGGCGACTGGTGGTCACACCGCTGGCGCACCCCTGACGTCTTGCCCTGGGCGACCTCCAGATCCTGTGGAAGGTGGTGGGCCATCACCGCCTGGTGCTGTGCGCGGGGATGCCATGGCGGGAATTGCGGACGGTCGCGCCGTCCGAATCCCTCGCCAGGACACGGTGCCAGTACAAGCCGCCCATGCCCCCGAGAAGCCCGACACGGCGAAAGGAGGGTGACGAGCGGCCAAATTGCCCGCACCACTCCAGAGCAGTACCTCGATGTAGCCCTGGATGCGGGCAGCGTCACCACCCTCAACGCCGGCCCCTACGGCCCCGTGCTAAAGTACCTCGCCGAGTACGATGGCAAGGTCTTCTTGGGCCAAGAAGCGCGCGTCACTGACGACAACCCCGGCCAGCTGCATCCCAAGCCAAAGACGCTGGATCGCACGGTCCCTGGGCCCCATGCATTGCGGACAGCTGGATGCTCGGCCACGTCGAACAGCAGCGGGACGCGTGTGCTTGTCCCTAACAGTATCCCAGCAGCCCTTCGGGCGACAGGTGGTCTAAGGAGGGTCTCTTTCCTCTTCCACAACCCTTCTTCCCTTCGGTGAGGGGAGCCCCCCCCCTCCCCTCCCTGAGGTTTTTTGGGGAGGGGGTCGCGATGTGTCGGAGGCTCCTTTTTCTGCCATTGGGAGGGCCATTTTTTGCCACCCTTCTCGAGGATCGTGGCCCCCGAGGAGGGGGCGCAAATCTAGTACCCCCACTCCTTTGACCGCCCGCCTCCAAGATGTTCCCAAGAGGCCGTCCAGGGCTCCCAGGAGGCCCCCAAGAGGGCCCAAATAGCGCCCCAAGAAGCCCCAAGAGGCCTCCAAAAGGCACCCGAGAGGCCCCCAAGAGGCCCCCGAGCGGCCCCCGAGGGGCCTCAGAGAGCCCAATATGACCTTCAAGATGGCTCAAGATAGCCCAAGCTAGCTCCAGATGGCTCCCAAGATGCTCCAAGAGGCCTCAAGACCGCTCCAAGACTGCTCAAGGTGGCCACGGAGCCTCTCCAGGATGCTTGAGATGCCCAAATCCTTCATCCTTCGTCCTCGTCCATACCCTTCGTCCTCGTCATTTTCCTCCTCCTCCTCCTCCTCCTCCTCCTCCGCCTCCTCCCCCTCCTCCTCATCCTCCTCCCCGTGTTCCTCCTCCTCCTCCTCCTCCTCCTCCTCCTCTTCCTGTCTCTCTCTCGCCTCGACCCATCCTCTTCCTCCTCTTCTCTTCCTCCTCCTTTTCCTCCTCCTCCCCTACTCCCCCCAATTTACCCCTCCCCCCCCCCACTCCCCACGCGGGCCCGGAGATGGCCCCAACACGCCGTCCAGGCCGGCCTCCCTCGCTGTTTGACTGTGCGTGTCTCTTCCTCATTCCCCCCTGTCAGCTCTCATGGGCATCGTTTCTGAATGGGCTGGTGGGGATTCGCGAAGCGTCAAGAATTATCATTACGCAACCTCCTGATGGGGATCACGTGGTACATCCTGGGCGAGCTGTCGCTGCACATGTCAACTGGGGGTTCCTGGTGGCATCATCTTTGTCAGCGTGTATTTGGTCCCGTCCATTGGCATGACTGGCGAGAACCTGGCGGTGCTTTGGGAGCTTGCCCAACGTGTCGCCGCCTGGAACATCCCAGGTCACTGGGTACTCGGCGGGGACTGGAACGTGGAAATCTCCTCGCTCAACCTCAGGTCGTCGATCGAGACCGTGGCGGGGGTGCATGCGGCCCCAACCGCGCCATGTTTGCGTCGTGCCCGACGGCAAGTCGCACATTGACTACTTCGTCTTCACCAGCAACCTGGCGATCCGTATGGCGACGAGAGCTGCGGTGAGGTCCCGCCGCCGCACTGCCCTGTCTCCATCAGCCTCCAGGCGCAGGACAGGCCCATGTGGTGCTTGGTCCCCGATGTGCCGCAGGCTATCGCTGTCCTAGCGCCAGTCGGTTGCGCGCGGTTCCCTTGCCCTTGGCATCGGTTGGCTCGCTACTTTGACCATGCAACGGCGAGTGGGCGTCGCGCACCTGCCGCCGAGGGACCGTTCAGGACGGCGAAGGAATTGGAGAGGGTTGGTCACGCCGACGACTCCCAGCCTTGTGCAGATGATCACTTGTCGCAGCTTTGGGGCGTTGTTCTCCCGGGCATTGACATCGAGGCCGCTGGCCGCTTTGATGGTCGGCTGCTCTGCGCGGCGCTATATTGGCAGAGATGGGCCGCCTCGTTTCCAGTGGCTGTGCCTGCGTTGGGAAGGCCCACGACGGCGACGGTATGCCGACGGCGCTACTCAGGGTTGGGCCATGGCAACGCGTTGGGCACAGCATCTACGAGCCGAACGCAACCGAATACATCGGTACTGCGAGCGCCTTAACATCGCTTCCAAGACGTGCGCGATCGCCCCCAACCAGTACAGGTTGGTCCTCAGAGCCAACAGTGAGGCGGGGTCTAACCGCACATGCATTCGAGGTTCCTTCGCGTGGCCTTCAGGGACTTCTTGTCTAGTGGGGCAACTAACAGGGATGGCTGAGCCCTGCTTTGGCGGCATGACTGGCGCCGTCATCGGCCGCGCGGATGAGACCGTCGAGACGGTTTGGCGCAAATGGGCCCGCGACACAGTCGACGGGCGCCCGCCAGGCGCATGCGGCCTCCAAGGTGCGACGCCCAGACCCGCATTCTGGCGAGGAGGACTCTCGATTCTTGGCAGGAGGTCTGGACCGCCCATCGGCAGGGACCAGTGCCGCTGCCTGAGGGCGGCGCGATTCGCTCCTTTCCCGTGCGCGCGGCGGCTGGCCAGACTCAACTTTCATCGAGGACGTTGGAGGTGGTCTCCGACCAGGCCTTACAGGCCATGGCCGACATATTCATGATCTTCGAGTCCCACCTTCGCTGGTCCACTGACCGCTTCTACAGCGAGATAGCGCGGCTGCCTAAGCCGGGCGGGGGCCATCGGCCGATTGTCCTGAGCAACGCTTATGTTCAGATCTGGGCGAAAGTGGGGCGCCCACTTTCTGCGCAGTGGCAGGAGGAGCACACTCGTGACGAGATGTAGAGTGCGAGAGGAGGTCGCACCTCGTCCGACTCTGCATTCGATCACAACGTCCAGCAGGAGATCGGGGAGCTCCTGGGAGAGTGCACGGCCACCATCCTGATCGACATGATCAAGTGCTTCGCGAGGCTCGTGAGCTGCGCTGTCCGCTGCGGCTGCTTTGGGCGCTCCAAGGCCTTTGGAAGCTCATAGGACCCATTCGAAGCCTTTCCTGGCCTTCTGGCTGGATGCACGCACGCCACTTACCTGCTCTATCTTCTTACGCGCAGAGCGGCCAGGCGGTTGCCACTTCCGTAACGCCCCTTCGGTAACGCCGCGCGTCCTGGTGGATGACGTCGGCTTGCAGTTCGTCTCGGCCAACTGGGGTGAGCTGCGGCTTCTGGCCAAGGTTGCGGGCATCTTCGCGCAGGGAGCGGAGGAGCTCGGCCTCGTTCCCCAGCCGCAGAAGTCAGCCATTGTCGCCAGCTTTCGCCGCGCCCGCGCGCTGCTCGCCAAGCATCGGGTGCGCGGCCTCTTCCAAGTACCGCGCGCTGACCACGCGCGCAGCCTGGGCCGCGAAATCCGCGACCCGCGGGTTCCGAGGCGCGTTGATAAGAATCACCTCAAGAAGCTCCGCGAGCGCACCAGCCGCTACATGATGCTCAAGGCGGCGGCGGGCCGACGCGCGTCCAGCCTGTGGCGAACGGATGTCATGCCTGCCGTCGCCCATGGTGCCGTCCTGAACGGGGCTCCTGGGGACGGCTCCTCTGCAAGGGTTACGGCCTTCCTCAGCCCCCTATGCCGCTGCGGAGCATGACTCCATGTGCGCTGCAACTATCGACGTGGTCGCGAAGTACTCGGAACGGAGTGGGTGCGGGACGGGCGAGTTGCTCCCAGCCATCTTCGCCGAGCTTGGGAAGTATTGAGCGCCGAGTTCGACGACGCCACCGCCTGGCTACAAGCGCGTATATAACCCTATCGTTGCACCGTGGTCATCTCTTCGGAGGATTGGATGGCGCATGCTCTCCCCGCGCACCTTGCTCGACGATGCTGGCGTTGCCTACGATCTACATCAAGTATGTCCAGCCGCCCTCCGCCCCTTGTTGGTGAAAGGGGTCCAGCGTTGGCAGCGCGAGAGGCTCCGACGCCACGTGCGCACCGACGCGGGGGCGGACGTCTGGCATCGAGGACTTCGCCACGCTGTCGCCGGCGAGAGATGCCCCCGGCAGCGTGGGGCGCTTCAGGCCCGCTGGGCGGATGGCGCCCCCCTTCCCCCTAGACTTAGGTCGGGCATGTCCTTCTATTAGCGGATTTGGGACAGGAAATTTGCAATAGCCAAGAAATGTTCAAACATGGCTTAAACAATACGCGGCAAATCGTCCCCAGACTGTTTTTGTTGGGGGTCTATGTTTGAAGATTCCCCCTGTAAAGGGACAGGCCCGATTTAACCGTAGACGGGACATGCCCCTTGGAAGGCCCATGCGCCCATGCCAGGGATGCGGGAAGCAGAAGACCCTCGGCGCGCGGAGGCGGTGGCTGCTGGCCACATCGTTGGCGCCGTCTCTGGGGGCAGGCACTCTTACAGGGCAGGCAAGCGGGGAGGCGCCGTGACCCCCTGCCCGACGCGGAGAGGTTTCGTGGCAGTTTTGTGCCCGTCTTCGGGCACATCCTCGATGACGATCAGCCTGCTCGTCCTGTGCATGACCCCCCCCCCCGCCAGGTGGCCCACGCAGCGCGCATGGGCTTCAACGAGGGAGAGGGCTTCTTTTCTGCAGTTGGGGACTGCCAAGAGGAAGTGGCGATTGGCGGTCACGCAGTCGACGCCCCTGTTTCCAAGGACGTCGATAACGCAGTGCCAACTCGTGAACATCCTGCTCCTGGTGCTGAGCTGGTTGTTGCGGGGGTGGCGACTGGCGGTCACGCCGTCGGAGTCACTCCCGATTCTGGGAGGCGTCCTGCGTCGAAAGTCTCGGCTGAAGGTGACCCTGACCATCTGTTAGAGGTTCGTGAACGTCTGCTTCGCTTTGGCATGGGTACTGGAGCCCCCCACTACGAGACTTCCTTCATATTCTTCAGGCTGCCCCAGCCTCCCGTTGGACTGCAGCCTGCTTCGTTTATCGGCACGGCCACGATCGACTCGGGGGACACGGCAAGTACCGGGGGCCCTAAGTCCCACATCGACGGCTCTGGATACGCTTCAGGAATCCCTGAGGTCCGACGCTGTGGATGCGCAATGGTCCAACTGGACCCAGACTCGCTTCTACCGATCAGATCCCGCTACGGTTAGGTCGAGCATGTCCCCCTCCAGGCGGATTTTGGACGAAAACAAAAAAAACAGCCAACAAATATTCAAACATATCCCCACATAGTCAGACAAATCGTCCCCCTATTATGTTTTGACTACTCTTGAATATTCCTCCTGTAGAGGGACACGCCCGACTTCACGCTGCAGGCCGCTGCCTTGCCGCATTCAGACGGTAGGTAGCGCCGAGCGCCACTCGGCCAAGGTCGGCCTCTCGATGCCGATCCGAACCGCCAGCTGCTCGCCTCAGCCCTGCTCCCCTTGGCGCGCGAGGGCACCTCGTGGACACGCACACCTCGCTCGGCCTGCGACCGGGCAAAGCATGCGAGAGTCAGGCGTGATATGTTTGGGGCGGCGCGAGGTCGCACCTCGACGGGCCCCACCACTTTCAGGTGGAAACCAGCCCATCGGTCGCACGGCGAAGTCGTGAACTCGGACTTCGCCGATTTAGTCGACTGGCTTGGTAACAGCTGGGCCGACTACTTTGCCAAACCAGGTTCGGCTAGCCACACGGTCGCTTCTACCGTGGGGGAGGCCATTCAGGAGTCGTTGCGTGAGCACCACCGTGCACACCGACATGTAGCCTGGGCGTGTTCGAGGGTCGCCACGGCGACAAGGTGGGGAGCGGATGTCACGCATCCGCCCGCGCCCGCGCGGGCTCCAGGGCTCCAGGGGTGGTCCTTCAGCGAAGCTCCGATCACCACTCGCTCTCTCGAGGCGTGGAGGGCGAGCTCGGCGCGTGCCGCTGCAGGCACCGCAGATGCCACTGCACGTACAGCCTCACCTCTTGCGTCCCTGCGGAGTGGCCCTCTTCGGCTTCGTGCGCCCGGCAACCTCCAGCGCCTCGCAGCGGCGCGCTTCTTTGAAGGGACCCAGGGACACACAAATAAATATACACAAATCTTAAGGATTCCCCATATGTTATAATATTTCCCAGGCTTTCGTCTTCCCCCCACTCCCCACATGTTCCAACATCTCCCTGGGAATCGACGATTCATTGTATCTGCGTGTGTGTTTTTCCCCCTCCTGATTCTTCGAGGCCACAGCTCTGAGCTGGGAGGACGTCGCCGACCATCGCGTGACGCTTGCACTCGAAGCGGCTGCGGGCCTCCTCGGCCCTGCCGCTCCCGAGCCCGACCGCCCACCTCTGCAGCCGGCGTCGGACGCCGACGACCTCGCGGCACCTGCGGAGCCTGAGCACGACGTGTTCCAGGCTGGCGAGATTCTCTGCTGCCGCTGGTGCGGGGGGTGCTGCAACGTGCAGGCCTTTCGGACGGCGCGCAAGCCGCGGCGCGAGTGCAGGGGGGTCCCAGAGAACCCCGGCGGAGGGTTGGCGCCCCGCCAGGAGGGCCCTGCCTAGAGCACGGCTCCCCGTTGCAGGGTGGAACCCTCCTGGTTCCCACTCCCCTGGGTTTGCGCAGCAGGATGGCTCGTGGCGCCTGGTGGCCGTGGGCGTCGGTGCGGGCCTAGCTGCCCGATGCCTGAGGTACTGGGTGTGAACCCCTCTCGGTTCCCCGCCTGCCTTGGCTCAGGTTGTCTCGGAATGGCGCTGGCCGCGTCGCCCATCTTCCCAGCATTGTCCGCGGAGGTGGGCCGGCATTGTCCGTGATCGGCCGGCTGCTTCCGTGCGCCGCTCGCACTGGTGGCGTTGCTCGAACTATTTTGCACGACATGCACCATGTCGTGTGTGTGTGTGTTTTTGCAACTCTCGAGGGCTTGCGCGGCATTGCTGGCCCCGAAGAAGGTGCCACTGTTTCCTATTGAGCCAGGCGCTGCATGCTCAATGCTATTTTCCAGCGCGTTTTTCGGCATTGTCCGGCGCGTCTCACGGCATTGTCCGGTCCGGCGCGTTTCCCGCGCCGCGTCCGTCCTCTCTGACGCGGTCCGCGGAGCTCTACGCGCTCCCCCTCTCCTTCTCATCCTTCTCTTCCTCCTCCTTCTCCTCCTTCTCCTCCGTCTCCTCCTCCTGCTTCTCCTCCTCCTCCTCCTCTTCCTCCTCCTATCCCTCATGGAGAGGAGGGGGGGAGAAGGACGTACTCCTCCTCTCCTCCTCTTTCTCTTCCTCCTCCTCCTTCTCCTCCTCCTTCTCCTTCTCGATCGCATTCTTTCGAACTCCTCCTGTTCGCCCTGCTCCCAGGTGAACCTGCACGAGCTGGCCTGCAAGGTCGGCGGGGCCACCGCGGGGGCTGAGGCGCTCCGGGGCCGCACCGAAGGAGACGCTCTTCCGCTCCCTGTCAATCGGGTGTTGCCAGAAGTGCCCCTGGTGCAGGGGGTACCCTGGATTTCCCAGGAGGCCCCCGCGGCCTTCACAGAGCACTCCTCATGAGAGCCTAGGGCCACCTTGGGCCATTAGCACCATTTGGGGGGACGAAAGTACCGACACCGCTACTCCCCGGGCCTCTCCCGGGTTCCGCTCTGATCATGATATCGGAGCGGACACACCCATGGCGACGAGGGCCTCCCCAAAAAACCCACTAAGGCGAAAACGAGGGAAGGGGGATCGGCATCGGCATCTCATCCTCCTCTGAGCTTCTGGCAAGGCCCGAAGCCTCGCGCTCCAGGACGCCGGCGTGCTCGGCACGCCCGCCGCCCCTGCAGGAGCCCCGAGATATTCGATGACGCAAAAAAAACTGCAGCACCGTGAAAAATCACGACCGGCGCCCTGGACCCCATTACTCTGCGGCACCCTTGGGGTCCCAGAGCGGTACTTCGGTGACACACCGTGTGGTGATCTCGGAGCCCCGAAAGACCTCACCGCACGGTCAGTCAGCATACGGTTTTGGGACCCCAGACGCCCGAGACGTCCTCGGAGAATCCAAAAACCGCGCGGTGACCCAGAATCCCCACTGACTCACTGCACGTTGTGGTCAACGCGCCGCTCGGGGGCCTCCGAGGCATTTTCAGAGCGGATCGATACGTGAAAGGTGCCAGGGCCCGACATCGAGGAACAAACCATGACATGAACATAAACTTTCGGAGGTCCGCGCGGATCTTTTGGATCGGCGCTGGACCCCCCTCCATGGCGCTCGGAGCGCGCCAGAGGCGGCGCCTCCGGCGCCGCCAGGGGGCTCCAGCGACGAATCCCAAAAGACCGCGCGAACCTCCGACAGTCTATGCTTGTGCCGGTCCTGTTCCTCGACGGCACGGGGCGACCACACCCCGCTTCTCGAACAGAGCAGCGACGCTGGGCTCTCCACGCCGGCTGCACGCGAGGAGGACCCGAGGAGGAGGAGGAGGAGGAGGAGGAGGAGGAGTAGGGAGGAGGAGGGAGGAGGAGGAGAGGAGCAGGAGAGGAGGAGGAGGAGGAGGAGGAGGAGGAGGAGGAGGAGGAGGAGGGGGCCCCAGGCAAGAGTGGCCTCATGGCGCGCGGCCCTGCCCATATCGTTGCAGGCGGTGGGTGCAGCAGGGTGGCGGGCGTGCGCTTCCGGCGCGGGGCCCCCGGCCGCCCCCTCCCCGAAGCTGCCCGCGCCGTCGGGCGGCAGGAAGCCACAGGAGCCTGCGCGGCACGCGCGTGCGCGTCGGTAGGGAGTCACCAACTATACACCAACACCGATCCTGGCCAGGATAACCCTGGGCCCAGGATCGGTGTATACGCCCTCCTGCCTTGCGCAAGAAGGCATATACACCGATCCTGGGCCCAGGGTGATCCTGGGCCAGGATCGGTGTTGGTGTATAGTTGGTGCCCTCCGAGTCGGGGCGCGCCCCAGCCCCCCAACAGGTGCGCACTCGTGGCGCGGAGATGCCGCGCCCTCGCAGCGCGCGCCCTGCCTGTGAGCGCGCGCCCGCGGCGGGCGCCAATGCCGACGCCGCGCACCAGAGGTCACTCCGGCGCAGGGCCGCTCTTGCGTGTAGCCGCTCGAGTCGAATAGTGGATCGACTACGGGATGGAACAACCAACAGGTGCTTCTTTTCTTGGTTCGTCCAGTCCATGAAGAATGCGATACGTCTTCTTTGGAAATTCGACGAGGAAATCAGTTTTGGGGGTAATTTTAGGTCGGGCACGTCCTCCTACAGTCGGAATTTTGGACGACAAAGGAAACATGGGCAACCAATACTCAACAAGAGTCCAGAACAGTCAAAAAAACATAGTCCCCATACTATCCTCTGATTATTTTTGAATACTCCTCCTGCAGACGGACAGGCCCGACTTACGGGTAGATCCATTCTGCAGGCGATCCCCTGCCCGATCCAGGGGTCGCCTCGCGGCGGCGGCAGACCCGCGAGCGCCTCGCTCCCGGCCCCTCGCGAGCGGCATCCGCCCCGAGGCTGCGGCGCGGCCGTGCAGGGCGCCCCGACCATGGGGGCGCGCGCGCGGGGGAGGGGGCTCGCACACTGCTGAAGCCGAAATACGCTTCTGCGCTCTCGGATGATGCACTCGACCAGGATAGGAAGGGTGCGCGGTAAGGATGCAAGGGCCTTGGAACGCCATGTTGACGTTTTCCGAATACCGAAGGGGCAAGGATGCGAGGGTAGCCTTGGAAAGTTGCCCCATCCTTACTATCATGGTTGACTGTATGAAGGACAACAGTCAGGCGCTCTACGTGTGATTTCTCTATGGCCACACTCCACTCGTGGGTACGCTGCGCTGGTCCACAACTGGTGAGTACGCTTCGCTGGCCACTTGCTGCCCTCCTAACGTTACATGGCTTTCCCCAACAGCGTCTCGCTGGACGCATGGGGGAAACCAACATGCACCGACACCGCTATACTCCCCAGACCTCTCCCAGGGTGCGTTCTGACCAGGATTTCGAGGCGAATCCAGCGGTGGGCACAACGGAAAACTAGGGAAGGGTAGCGGTATGGGTACCTTTTCCTCCCCTGAGGTATCTCGTAATACTCAAACAACACGCACCGTTCTAATAAAACAGGACCACCGACGAGTCTCACGGGGGGGCGGGGGCGGGGAGCTCCAGTGCGCCTGGTCCGGCAGCCGTTGCGCCCGAGACTTCCTCTTACCATGTATTCACGAATCGTGATCTCGCCTCAGAGCCGGGTACAGTTCACGATGCCCGGTAAAAACTGGCCTGGCGAAAGACCCAACCCTATGCAGCTGCGAAACACGCAGTGCATGACCCACCCCTCGTTAGACGAAGGAACTAAACATAAACATAAACTTTTGGCGTTCCGCGCGGATTTCCTGGATCTGCGTCGGTTCCCCTCCCTGGCGCGCGGAGCGCGCCAAGGGGCGGCGCCAGAGGCGCCGCCAGGGGGGGGGGGGCAGCGCGGATCCAAGGAATCCGCGCGGAGCGCCAAACGTTTATGTTTATGGTGTTTCTTCGAGTCGGAGGTGACGCGACGCGGGAATGATGGGGCACGGGACGGGACATGCAGATGGGGGATGCGAAACGTGTGCAGGGTGGCCGATATAGGCTGGGGGACGCAAGCGGACCCTGCCTGCCACTTTGGGCCTTCGGTGGAGCTTCCTGTGGGGCCACTAAGCGTGTGAGGGTTGTGCCGAAATAGGCTGGGAGGCGCATGCGAACCCTGCCACAGGAGACTTCGGTGGAGCCCCCTGTGGGGCTACGGCTACGAAACCTGTGATGTGTGTGTGTGTGTGCGCTAAAATACTGGCTGGGGGCCGCATGCGAATGCTGCCACAAGAGCCTTCGGTGGGGTTCCCGATGGGGCCACGAACAGTGTGCATGCGAACGCTGCCACAAGTGCCTTCGGTGAGGCTCCCCATGTGGCAACGAAACGTCGAAGGGGTGTGCCGACATGGGCTAGGGGACGCATGCGAACCCTGCCACAGGAGACTTCGGTGGAGCTCCCAATAGGGCTACGACACCTGGCAGGGATGTGCCGAAATGGGCGGCGGGGACGCATGCGAACGCTGGCGGTGTCGAGCAAATGCGCCACGCTTTCCGATCCTGGTACGCATAGAGACCGCGGTGAGGGACCACCCCCTTTTCACTACCTGAGGGTTCGGGACAAAGCCACGCCTGCCACACATTCCGACCCTGGCGTGCATAGAGACCGCGCTGAGAGATCACCCCCTGCGCATCCCTGGTGGTGTCGAGACAGTGCCACGCCTGCCACACATTCCGACCCTGGCACGCATAGAGACCGCGCTGAGGGACCACCCCCTGCGCATCCCCAACGGTTTCGAGAAAAGGCCACGCCTGCCAAAAAATCCGACCCTGGCACGCGTAGAGGCCGCACTGAGGGACCACCCCATGCGCACCCCTTCTGGTTTCGAGAAAAGGCAGCGCCTGCCACGCTTTCCGACCCTGGCACGCATAGAGACCGCGGTGAGGGACCGTCCACTGCGCACCCCTTTTAATGTCGAGACAGCGCCACGCCTGCAACACATTCCGACCCTGGCACGCATAGAGACAGCGCTGAAGGGCCATCCCCTGCGCACCCCCTGTGGCGTCGAGCAAATACAACGCCTGCCACACATTCCGACCCTGGCACGCATAGAGGCCGCGCTGAGGGACCACCTCATGCGGACCACCTCTGGGATCGAGAAAGTGCCACGCCTACGCGTTCCAACTCTGGCACGCGTATGGTGTGTGTGTGTGTGTGTGTGTGTGTGTGCGCGGCTGCAAATGTGCGTATGCATAATGTGCGTGGGCGTGTGGTATGCGTGTGTGCGCATGTCTGATGCTCACCGAACGGCAGTTGCGCCCTGCAGCAGAGGGAGGACGCGGGGCTCCACAGGGTCATTGCAGCAAACTAAACCAGGAGGAAGACTAAACTAGAGTGCCTGGGGGTAGACGGTGCACTAGGCGCTGGGGACGACGCCGCTTAGGGGGACCCCCGTGCGCGGGTGCCGTCCAGCCCTAAGGTTTCTGAGGGCTGCAGCACGCATTCGGCTCGTCGCCCAAGTGACTGGCCCTCTGCATGGGGCCATCAGCACTGGGGACTGGCGGCTGGATGCAGATCCGCCGCAGTTGAGACAGAATACGAAAGGCCCCTCAGACGCCATATGGTGGCCTCTAATGAGCTCATACCGAAGCTCAGGGGGTGAGCCGCTACTGGGCACCACCGAGGGGCTCGCCGCTACCCTATGGGGGGGCTCCCCGTTACTAAGTCCAGTAACACGCCCACTGGGAGCCCTCCCACAATTCTCGGGCCCTTTGGCTCCGTTGGGAGGTGCATGCCCCTGCCCACTAGACAAAGTGGGCCCCTCAGGGGCTTGCTCGGGCCCCTCGGACCCCGACGGACCAGCACAGGCGGTCGGCTGACCTGTGCCGCTCCTTCCAAGAAGCCGAAGGCCGACCCCGAGAACGTCGTCGGCTCCCTCTCCGACCGTGCCGACAGGAATCCAGGGTCTCGCGGCGGGATGGCCATCCTCCCCCACACGGGCCAAGACACCTTTGGGGGCCACCACGGCCCCCCGCCTCGGGGAACGGGATCGTCCCTCGCGCTCCGCAGGGCGCACCGGAATCCAGGTTCTGGCGGCCACGGGCCCAGGATGGCCAATCACCGGGCCGAGGGCGCGATCGGCCGCCCTCATGGCGATCGCGATCGCATCCTCTCGGGCGCCGGGCACCGGGGCCGCAGCAGCAGCAACCGAAGCGGAGGGGGAGGAGGAGCCGGCGAGGCGTGCATGGACGCGCGCCATCATTCCCTGCAGGGCCGACGGCTCGCAGCTCGAGCTCTCCAGCCGCCGCCTCGCCGCCTCTGTGGTGGCGGTCGCGAGGCACTCCGTGCACCGCCAGCCTGCAGGGCCGCGCTGGAGCTGGTGGCGGTGGCCCAGCACGGCGGGGGCCACGGGCGCCGCCGGGCGGTGCACTCGCTGCACCAGCGCGCGGGCGTCCTCGGCGAGGG